AGTTTTTATTGGGGCTCGATCAGCTTTGAAAAAGGAACCGAGAACTGGGAATAAAGAATAAAGAACTGGGAATAAGGAACAGGGAAGCGGGAACAAGGCACTGGGAATAAGGACCCAGCTTCAGCCTCATGGATTTCCCCTGAAGTACAAAGCGCACAGAGCAAAGGGCGAAGCCAATTAATATCTGCATGCAGGGCAACTCTGATCTCGTCTGGCCCCTTCCTCTCTGGCATCGGGCTGCCTTCCTTGTCACATTGCTCTGCCGCAGCCCCTGCTCCTTGGGGTCTCCCTGCCTGCCTGATGCTCCCGGGGCAGCCCCCAGCACCTCTCTCCCAGGCCTGGGACCTGGGAACAGCTTGGGAAAATTCCCACTGCACCTGCCTGGGGCTGGCTGGGTACTGCTGCCATCCATTGTCCCCCTACCACCCCCACCGTGGGCTATGGAGGGCTCGGGTCCATGCCGCCCTTTCACAGCCCGTAGGTTTTCCCCTTGCAGCTTCCTTGGCTCTTGCTCTGTGCACTCAGGAAAGGAGAGAGCACAGAAACTCGCCCTGCCTCCAGGGTTTTTAACAGAGACCGCACACAACTGCTGCATTCCCCTCCACGCAGAAAGAGCCCCCAGCGAGCTAGCTACCCCCGCGAGGCTGCTCTCCCCCGGCCTGGGGGCAGGCAAGGATGCGAGATGGGTCTGGAACAGGGCAAAACCCACGCTCCCGCCCCAGGGCGCGCCAGGGAGGCTGCTGCACCCCAGCCTCGTAGCCAGCCCCTGTGACCTGGAGGGGGGCAAAGGTAGCCTCCCTTATCTGTGCCGCAAGATCCCCCGATACCGAACCTGCAACCAAGCCCCGAGAAGCATCTGTTATCAGGTGCTCCAGAGCAGGTGGAAGCCGAGTGCCCTCTCCCTGGCCTAGCGAGAGGGGAATCAACATGATAAGGTATCAGGACTTTCCCCGCCTGGTATCTGTCGGCATAGGTGCAGGCGCTATTGGCCCCGCTGAGCGATATCTCAGGGGAGCTGGGCTATTGCCAAGACTGATAAGCTGCATTGCCCAGCGGCATGTGAACGCTGTCGTGCTGCTGGTGCCTCCCAAGGTCCCCTTGCCCTTTGGATGGACAAGGACGGCACGAAGCCCTTGGAAATGGAAGGGCCTGCAAATGGCCTTGCCCTGGGCTTCAGAGACCCGCTGCTGCAAAGCCACGGGCCCAGGTCTGCTGCCCCTGCTGATGCTGGTAGTGTCATTAGTGGGGTGACTCAGGTGAGCAGATGCAGAGTCAGGCCCTGCATCCCCAGGCCACGGACAGGCTGCAAGGGGTGCTCTCTGCCCCCCTGGGCTGAGCCACCTGCGCCAAGGTGCCCGGGCCCAGCGGCACGTGTGGTCAGGTTGCCCACGCGCTAGCATCATTACCAGACTTCAGGTAGTGGCACTGAGTTCATTAATGCTTGAACAAGAACGGTCTGTTCTCTGAAGAGAGCATATATCGAGTGCAGCCCTTTGCAACTTCCAGCTCTCGACAAACAACAGGAAAACTTGGCCTAAGCTAAGACATGGCCCAGGAATACCCAGTGACAGTGCTGAAAATGCACGGCTGCTTACAGACGTGAAAAAGACCCAGTCCTTTACTTTAGACTTGGCGTGCCCCCATGCCAAGCACCAACATGATGCCTCTCCTGGGCACATACTGTTTGACCCGGCTCACCCAGCGTCTGCCTAGAGCACGTGCTTCAGCGGGACTTTTTAGTGCTTTTATCTAATAGTTGCTTGACTCAGCTTCAGTTAAAAGCACCAAAAAGCCCTGGTGAAGCGTGCGAGCTATGCGACAGTGCGGAGCCAGCTCGAGCTAACGTGCTTCCTTTTCTCATAAAGCGCTGGTCTCTCTCACGTCTGTCAGCAGCCCGATATAACAAGCCAAAAGGACAATAGAAAGCCTTGCATACGTCTTACCTAATCCCAAGGGCAGAGTGTCTCCTTGCTGTCAGGGATTAAAAAGTCCTGGGGGACCCATAGGTCTTTTTAGGTTATGAGGAGATGATCCCACGGGCCTCATCTCTGCCTGGGTTTTTACAGGCGAATCTGCACCTCCTGCTCCCCCTTGGGTGCCTTTTTTTTTGCAAACATCTAGTTGGTTTAATACAAGATATCACCTCTGCCACGAGCTCGGATTCCTTGGGCCTCCAGACCAACGCAGCTACAACCTGCAAGGTGCCAGATGATTGGAAGGTAGCAAATGTGGTCCCCATCTTCAAGAAGGGGAAGAGGGAGGACCCGGGTAACTATAGGCCCGTCAGTCTTACCTCAATCCTGGGGAAACTCTTTGAGAAGATCATCAAGGAGCACATTTGTGAGGGGCCGGCATCAGAAATGATGCTCAGGGGCAATCAGCATGG